AAATGTGGAAGGGTAAATGAGCAGACGCATAATCCTGATATAACTGAACATTGTGAAGTGCACACGTCGCGATATGGTGTGGATTTAATGCTATGCAACAATGCGAATAATGATTGTTGCAAGTCCGGTGCGATTTAAAAGAAAAGCGGAGAACGCGAGAGATTAGCTCGATAGCTCGTATAATTTCCACGCGCGTTGAAGCGACCTTTTTTTATAAAACCTTTACAAACTTCTCGAAAACAGTTTGCAGTGATATTGTACGATATTCAATAATCGGATTGCGCACAACTAAATCGAAACTGAATTTATATTTTGAATTTTAATTGCGTTGTGCCGCAATTATAAATAACGCAACGGATGTGGTAAATCTCACTTTCGGCAATGCCTTGAATTTGCCGAGATGGATTTTATATCAATCTGCCATTAGAAACATTGACTGACGAGATGCCGAGCATCTCTCGTACGTGCGAAAAACCTTACTTACGAACGAAAGAACGAACAAACGAACGGGCGAGTGCGCATGCATTCGCGCACGTGGAATAATAATTAGCCATCGCCGGTGCTGATACACGTTCCACGCAAATGACGTGTCAGGTGCAGCTGTTGCGCATCGTTCCGCAATGCGGGCCGATGTACTCCTCCTCCTCCTCCTCACCTCTGCGTCCCTCCCCTTGCTTCCCTGGCTCTCTCGCCCCGTTACCAAACTACAACGTCTACTTAATTTCGTTCCACCCTTTGTCTTATGGTTTTATAATGTCTCCCCCGGCAATCTCGGGGTCCCAAAGTGCGAACCTACATGCGACGCGCGATCGCGTGCCGCCTGTCATTAGACTCTCGACGGACTTCTAAAACGGCTGTGCTAGCTGCACCTACATACTATAGCCGTTCTCCGACGTAACGTTCTCCAGATCGTGCATGCCTCTTCCGCGGATGTACTTCCTGCCGTCGCGATTATGAACCGTATTCGTGGATATTCACAGTGAGAGCAGTCTTTTTCGATATAAAAAGAAAGATAAATTCGTGAAACAATTTTAGAAAATTACGTGAGAAATTTACACGAGAAATGAAAAATAAGTAGTTTATTTTCCACTAAATTTTTTAGCTTTTCAGCTATCCTTCGTTCGTTGCAGAAGGAATATTTTCTTCACGTTATTAAAATGCTGTACACACATCGATATCTCAGCGAAATATAGAAAAAATTGAGGGGATAAACTGTACGTTTTGAAAGAATATCTGGAGAAGCAACGTGCCGAGCATGAGGAATACGTGTGGTTCACAGTCCAATTATGAAACGCTAATTGGAGCATGTCCCGGTCATGCCGCCGTTCCGATCAGAAACAGTTAGGTCTGATCGGATCTCATGAGCAACGGACCGGTAGGAATCGCCGGCCGTTTTCGTGGCAGGACT